GGTTGAAGCTTCGTTGTTGAATTATTAACGAAAAACACTGGCCAATCAGAGAGCGCGTAGAGCCCGCGCCCAGGCACGGGAGCGCAGAGACTCATCCGCGCACGATCGTGAACAAACGCGTACGCGTGACTTCTTGGTTATCGGTCTCTGTCACAAAAATTTGACTTTGCACTGCTATTTTTATAAGGCTTAGAGAAATGGGTTTTTGCCGTCATTCCGATGTTTGTATAACAATACATACCTAACGGAGATGCGAAAAATGTGCGGCCGGCAAAGTATTAAATTAAGAATAATCTGGAATTATTCATTCATGAATAACAAATAAGTCGTTTAATAACTGTGTTTGATACAAAAGTATCAATAAAAATTCATTATCCGAAAGGAATAAAGTGTTTTATTACTTATGAAAAACTTACCCACTCGTCCACGAATTAATCTGCTTCGACGGAAGTGGATCAGTGTGTCGATCCTGACCTTTCCAGGCAATCCAAAACAGCTGATGTTATGGCCGGGTCGGTGAACTCATATGATCGGCCCTCGCCAAACGATAGAAACAATAGACATCGACATCGACAACAATAGACGTCGAACGCCGCGACGTCTTCTGTTTTTTCCCCACTTTTCCCGTGGGCCACGTCCTGGTAATCCTCATTCACAAAAATATCAATTACTGTTGCTTCCCACTTACCATTCCGGGTAGCATTGAAACAGTAGCGGTTAAGCTAATAAAATTTAACGTAGTGGTAATCTCCGCATACTGTACTGATAGAGCACTGGATCGGGAGACCTTGGATGCCCTGACCGGTCTGAGTGTACCATTTATTATAGGCACTGACTTAAACGCTAAACATACCGGATGGAATAACACCTTCTGTAATTCCAACGGTAGAGCACTCGACGCTCACCTGGAGAGAGGCACCTACTTCATCTATCATCCCGATTCCCACATGCATTTCGCGCCGTACAGAAATCCCTCTACTATTGACATATTTCTATCTAAGTTATCTTTAAATGTCCGATGTGAAACCGCGGACGACTTGAGTTCTGATCATCGCCCTGTATTACTTACACCCACGATGGTCCAAATAACCTCAACCTCTGTCCCTATTATAAACTGGGATAAATATTTACATCTTTCCAGTAATATCAGTATAAACACTGAATTGCAATCTTCCTCCAGCATTGACTCCGGTGTTGCTTATATTCAACGTTTCCTCAAAAACTGCTTTCACAAGTCAACCGAATTTGTCAATGCTCCCAATAAATTCATTACACCTGATCAAGTGCTCATAAAGATGATTAAACTCAAAAATACGGCACGGAAACGCTGGCAGAGTAAATGGTAACCCCATTAGTCTGTTATACTACAAAGAATTCTCCAAGAGTATAAAAAAGAGAATCATTTACCTAAAGTGGCAATACACTCAAGAACAAATTGCCAATGTTAATCTACCAAATCACACTTTCTGGCCGGTTTTTAGAAAGTTAGTTAAAAAACCTAAAATGATTCCTCCACTCATGGATGAGAACGGAAATTTGTATTCCAGCGAAGCTGAAAAGGCCCAGCAAATTGCGGAATACTTTAAAAGGGTTTACACTGCCGCATATTCCACCGTATCACCACTTCAAAATTTAATCAAT